TGAATGAGAGTTCGAAGTAAATTTTATAAACTAAAATATTCTGTAAGGAATATAGCATTGTGTTTAGTCATTCAAAACAGGGATTGTGTGCCAATTTGAAAAATATGGATCAACTTTTAATAGTCTTCCATTTGGGAATTGCGGCCAATAAAGTTAGGCTAGGCCCTAGTGTCCGTTCTTTTTTCGCTCTATTACCATATTTGCTAGCGATAAAAAATGTTAATCGCTTTTAAATGAGACATGCGAAAAAAATATTTAACACATTTCAAAAACATTGTGGCCCGACAATAAATCAAATTCTCGCATAGTAGGCTGGTTCCAGCCCTATCAGAATCGAGAGCGTGCCTGATCGAGAACCAGTCTACTCGCAGGGCGGATCTGTTTTGTTTGGCGCACAAGCAAACGAATTTAAAAGCCCTTTTTCAGACGGTGATAGAAGTTTAAAAATATATCGAATATATTTGAAGAGTACGGACAGTACATCTTCCAGAATTCCCCGTATTGTTTCAGTCATTTTATATAAGTTGTTTGAATAGCAATCTCATTCAGTAACTTATCTCGTAAACTTACTTTGTTCGCAATGTTGTCCCATGAAGCCAGCGGGACATTCACAAAGCTGTTTGCAAATATTGCCATGTTGTGCCGGCGTCAAGTGCGTACCGCCGTTTTTGCAAGGATTTGAACAAATCGCTGAAACATAATTGGAAGAACCTCTTTTAACATTCATTAACTTGTCCCCTTCCAGTTTTCGATGCTTATGCCTTTGATTCTATATATGAAAAAAACCTTTAAATTAAACTACGCAAAACAATACGACCCGCCCCAAACAGTCACAAGGTCTTGTGTAACGTTGATATGTCGATGATCCTCGCATGACATATCTTGCACATATAACATTCAGACAAAAACAGATGGATATTTTGCAAAAACTAGTGATTATTTCCTTATTTAGAGGTTGGTTTCCCCAATACACGTGAAACCAGTACCTTTTATGCACCATATAATCTTAAGTATTTCATTCAAAATGTCTCAATTTCTTTAAGAATGTAGTCATACCAATTTTAAGTGTAATCATGCAAAATATTTACGACAAAAAAGACAGTGATTTCACGTGTAACGAGGATACCAAATTTGGTGTCCCCGTTACACGTGAAACAATGTTTTTCATCATGTATGAAGAAGATAGATTTGATTTTTACGATTCATTTTTTTAGTGACAAGGACAAAGCATTATACCACATATTGAAACTGCAAAGAGTGCAAAAAATACTTAATGTACAAAGTAATGCATAGAAATATGCATTGGTACCCTTATTTAAGGAAATACCCACGTACGGGATAAAGTATGTGCAGATCCTAACCAGCCGACACATATTATTTACCGTCACGATCCTAACCAGCAGGTATATGTTATTAATCATGACAAGTGGTGAAAAAAATATATATGTTAAACACTTATTTAAAGAAATATCTTCAACTTACTGTCCGTGAACAGTGTCAGAGAGAACGCAATCGCCACCGTATGGCACAGCAAAGTACGACGAATGGTGGCCATGTTGACCTGTGCGCTGTCAAGGAATCATGAGCGATTAAATCTGACTATTTTTAGTAGAATTTCTAAGCCATTAATACGACGAATTTCTTAACGAAAAAAAGGAAATTACGACAAATTTGCTTACAGAAATTAGCTTTGTTATATTAATATCATAAACCACCGTGTGTCGAAAATGGTTGTCTTAAGAGCCCCATAATCAATTCGGGTTAGAACCGAATCTTTCCCCTTCTTAAAGCCTGACATTACTATAATATGAATAAGGTTATGACATCTCAAAGGTGGCAATGGGCGATGGTTTGGCTAGGTCTTAAGCCTGACGGAACCGACTTTTTGAGGTGGAAAGAATCCTAAAAATTCGTAGTTATGCCAACGTCAGAAAAATACAGGGGCTCAAGGAAAAGGAACTGCCTGTCAGAAGCAGTGTGCTATGCTTGAATAGACCGGGCATGCCCGGGCATTATGATAAACCACATTTTAAACTTAAAATTTCAAATAACTGATAATGCTTACTCACCAAATGCTGCACGACGAGGTGTTGTCGGGATGTACACAGCCCGAAACTAAGCCGAGCGAAAACTAGCACAAGCTCGTCTTCATATCTGAAAGTCATTTTCTGTTTGATAATTATTGAAGTAATTAAGCCTCGCTACTGTTGAAAAGAATTTAATCATAGACGGCGATTTTTACGGTTTGTATTCCTCACAAAAACGACTGCTCGATTCACGATCCTTTGTACAAGACGAATTAAGAGCCCTCAGAAATTAGCTTGAATATTGTCTGTTTCAATTGACATTCATACAAAGTACTACGAGCCCATGTTTGGCGGGGTTTCCAAGGCATCAAAGCCACAATTTGCTGGACACATTACAGTTAACATTTTGTTGCGGTATCATTAGGCTTTCGGCACATTGCCTTTAAAATCAATAAAACCAAATACATGTAACAGTGAATTTGAATGTGGAATGGAAACATAGCCGAACAAAAATAATCTTTTCCGACAGCCCCTCTTTACAGTGCCGAAATTATGAGCGTCTGCATGGTAGATATGTATCTAGATATAAGATAGATAAAACTTTATTAAATACAAAACTGGAAACAGGTGGTTGAATAGGTTGTACTGGCAACTTTGCAGTAATGAAGAAGGCCCTGTATTACAACAACACGTTTTCCAAACAAGTTCTTCCAATTTGTGTTATTGTGATTTTTTAAGGCTAAAAGTAGGCTAAAAGCAAACGAGAGGAAAAGACTCGTACAGCTTCATTTTCCGTGTCATGATGTGATCCATGTTTCAGATGTGATCCATGTTTCAGAACTGGTGGCTGAAACTCTTTACAAAAATGTTCAGGAAGGAAGGACACTTACAGTAATTGACCACTTTGTCAAGATAGTGTTACAGTCTATCTCTTTTTCTTTCGTTTATAAAATCTTTAAAATTGTGAATAATCTAAGATTAAGAATTAAATAAAAATGTATGCTTAAGGTTCCATTCATGAACTGCAGGGATACAGGGAGAATCTAGCTTTCAGGAAACCAGTGGTGATATCAAGGGAGGATTTGGTCTGAAGCGTGGATTCGGGGGGGGGCGGGGGGCGGGGGCATCCCCCCCCCGGAAAAGTTATACTGTGCTTTCTCCTGCATTCTAAGGCAATTTGAGAATAAATTTTAGGAACTTTAGATAGCCATTTATTATTTTTGGCCCTATTTTACTAGCATCATAACGTTAGTCAGGGGCTGAACGGGGGGGGGGGGAATTGCAAACCTAAACCCCCTCCATAGATCCGCCCCTGTGATATAGCACCCTTGGTTCCCTTGGACTAAAGTAGACTTATGGGGGCGCTTCTGCTAACCATAACGAGGAAAAACTATGTGATTATCAATGCAAGAGTGTCGCACAACAGCATTACTTAACAAGATAAACTGACTGTTTAGCAAAGCTCAGCTCAAAACCAGCTGCCAAAAAAACTTTCATCCGTTGCGCGTTAGATACATCGACTGCAGTCCTAATTTAAATGTGCCACTATTTGACACATTTAAATTACACAATTCCAGGGTTTAAGATCGCGCAAGGCATGATGGGAATAAACATGGCGTAACAAGATCGTACCCATGGAAACGAGGTTGTTTCCCGCCGCCCCCCCCCCCCTAAAAAATATGGGTCCGAAGGACCAAGGGACAGGGAACCAGACTAACGTGCGATGAAATTTACGAGGGCACTCTTTCAGAATTATGCATTGAACTCTGTTAGTAAATCGTAAATGCCAATTTTGCCTGTGACCAATTTTAGTTTCTTTTGTATCCTGAAAGAGCCATCCTACCTGAACCGTGAAATTGAAAAATGGGTGTTGGTGAAAAAGTCGTTATTTTCACCATGGTAACATCGGTGTGCGCACGGACTGAATGCGTCCATAATGACGCATCAATTTGACTGATTGCTCTCGGTAAATCTACCTTTTCAATGCGTGACAGTATAGTCCGCTGTCGGGTTTTCCAATGACAAATATTTTCAAATAATGGTGATGATGTTGATGATTATAGTTTAGTTGCTTCGTCAGCCAAGCGGGTTTTTTTATCCGTTCTGTTCGTTTTAGTAATATTAGAGCCAGATATATACAGTTCGGAGTCAGCTTTTTCTACGCTTTTCATGTTTACCTATAATTTGCAAGGCTATTTTAATTTGAAATGCTTCTCATACATTCTAGAAAAAATTAATTCGAAGCTAATTGTGACAAAAGCTGAAGTAAAAAACCAGAGATGGTTGAAATTTAAACCAGACACTTTTGTATGAAAAGTTTATTTCCCAAAACGCAATAAACCCCATTTTGTTACTTTTTTGAATCCGGCTCTACAATTGTTTTATCGCTAAACACAATTTGAGAAAACAATAAAGCGAAAATTTAAATTTAAATATAGCTGTTACAATGTTTATATTCTTTAAAGTTTCATAACCGTGCAAAATGTTCACCTTTTTTTCAATGGATATAACGCGTTTTGGAAATAAACTCTTTGTACACTCTCAAAACGTTGTTTAACTTTGGTTGGTTAATTAACAAGTTGTTAAAATTTGTAACCTTAAACTTACCCAACGTTGGTTAATTAAATTTAACCAGCGTTGGGTAAAATAACTAATTTTAACCAACTTTTGATTAGCAGGTGAACAGCCCAACAGTTGGTTAAAAAGTTGGTTAAAATTTCACCCAACGTTGGGTAAAATGTTCCCAACATTGGTCAAATTGGAAAAATTATACAATGTTGGTTACAATTTTAACCAATTTTTTCAACCTGCTCAATTTTAACCAATGTTTTGAAAGTGCCGAAAAAATTATACAGAACACGTGGTGCCTAAATGTTGCGAATATAGAGTGTGCATGTCGACATCATCACTGAATTCTAAATAGCGCACTTCACAGATACATGGCTTAAATCATAACAATCCGTAGCCATGTATTTATTCGCAAGAGGGATTTTGAGACGACTGGTAATAAGCACAATCCGCGTCATGAAACCAGTCGCTGGTGCCCGCTTCGTCAGCGGTGACTCCGTTCAGCTCACACAGCTGCTCGGTTGAGTAATAATTAACGGATTTGCAGCGGGTATTTCGCATGCAGGCGGCGACGCATCGCATCCGACTAGGCCCGGAGACGGTCTTGATCACGTGACCCCGGAGGCACTGGTCCCCGGCTTTGTTGTACACTGCAGAGACGATCCCTGAAATTGATCAAGATAACAATTTTCATTAATTTGTAACAGTAACCAGTCCAACTATTACATTACAAACGTTAATGTCGGTGTGTCTGAGAGAAACCCAATGTGAATTATCAACCCTCGTGTCCATTTTTGTTTTTGTTTTCAAGCTAACCTTGGCTGCAACTTTTCCCGCCGTAACCATGGGGGCACTCGCAAACATTTGGCGATACGCACTGTCCTCCATTCCTGCAGGACGGCGAACAAATTGCTGGAGAAAAAAAATCAAAGATTCATGATGTTGTTCAAATATGCGTTAATGCAGAATAGTGCACATTAGATTCTTGAAATAAAGGGAAAACACCTAGAAGGTTTTGATCCATACTTACGTTCAGCGCAGTTGTTCCCTGCATACCCGGCAGGACATTGGCAAACGTTGGGAGATACACACAGCTGTCCATGTACACAAGGTGGCTCACAAATAGCTCCTAAATTTAAAAAAAAAAATCATACTTTTTTGTGAACGCCAGAAACCTTAAAGGGCTCATGTAATGTGATTTATTTTAAATGCAATCCTTAAAAATGCACCTTTGTGCCATTATTTTCAATTACCATTTTGCCATATTCATGGGTATTTTGGTGACTTGTTGGTTTTCATGAGCAAAATTGTGATGTCATTTCAGGCAGAAACCTCAATGTTACAGCTATATATGCACCAGAAGTTGCCAGGATTTTGGATGCTCTGCTGTGGTAGATTTGCTTTTCTTTGGTGATTCGTTGTTGTGTCAGTACATGGCAGTAAAGCCAATGAGCGAACTTTTCTCACAAATGTTTTCAATGAGCACATTTTGGGGTTCACAATTTGAACAGAAAACCCTAAACTGAACAGTGTCTTCCTGAAGGTAGCAGACCAGTAAATAAACTTCCATTGACCCCAATGGTAAATGCTCCCACTTCAAAAATTCGGGAAAAATACTCACAACTCTCCAAGGTGTTCGAGACGCACATCAAATTAAAGCTTATTTCATCATCTTTCATTTTCTTTTCAATTTTCAAGGGTCAACTGATGACTTTTAGGAGAAATTTCCATCTGAAGATGATCACCCCTGAAAATAGTCCTGAAGCCCATCGCCATTTTGAAAAAAGGTTGCCTACACTCCATTGCAAAATAGAGCGCTTTTAGGGTCCAAATTACATCAAAATTACACAGAACTGCAAGCTCCCAGTCCTGTGCACGGCTTCCACCCATATTTTTTACAAACCCTCAAGTTCATGGCCCACAGCATGCCCAAATACCGAAGATTTTGAGGGCATGCAAATCGTGATTTGGCCGGCGCAGGCAATTTCGGACCGATTTACTGGTCTGCACCCTGAAATGACTGACGGCAACAGCGCCCTCATTTGTTCGGAAAAGCATCAATTACATTTTGAAATGTCTAAAGAAGTGCACTTTTCAATAAAATTAACCAAAAAGGGATGTCAAAATATATATAGATTTCACACATTTAAGAGGAATAGAAAGTTTGCACAAAATAATTTCCTAAGCAAAATTCACTTTCATGACCCCTTTAAGCTTATGGAAGGCTTGTAAAAGTCAGTCAACCGAGCTTGGAACCTTTCGCTTTACCTAGACACAGGTGTTGACGTCTCGGCTCCAGCCGGGACAGCAGATGTCATAGGCCGTTCTCATAGCACTGCGGTAGGTCGTGATGTCCCTTTTAAAGTTATAAAAAAGGGCAAATCTTTTAAGTTTTGTTGTCATGTTTAGGTTTGGGTTGGAGTCTTTGCAATATTGAGGCGTAGCGCGCGTGTCATCAAGGCGTGGTGTGTTACAAAATAATTGAGGTGGTGTTATTTTGGCGCAAGTATGGGGTGAGTTAAGTTCCGTTATGTCCTCGTGCAATAACTACAAATTCCATTTACTGCAGACTTTAAATTTCAACTCCCAGGATGTTTAGGTACTCCTAATTGTATGCAAATGTGAACATCTTGATGCAATCAAGCTAAATGAGTCGTTTGTCGGGAATTTTTGTTTGGCGACTCAGGCCAAAATAGGGCCACTTCATCACATCACTTCATCACATCTCTTGGTGTTCAGACTTCCATAATTTTTTAACTAAAGATGGTACCAGCATGCGGTTTTCACAGCAGTAATGCTGAGATTGTGCTTAGGCTTTTCAAATCTGTAATAAACATTTTTTGACCATGGTCGACAAACAACTCATTTAGCTTGATCGCCTCACAAATAAAAAGTATAAAAGTGTGATGCCATCTCTAGCAAAGGCTTTATAAGTCGGCATTAAAGGTAAATTCTTAGATTTTTTGTTGTCTTTGATCATTATGTTGAGGTTCGTTCATAACTCATAAAGAATTGATCGAATGTTCATAATTACGTCACAACAACAATGCCCTCAGAGGTCAGGAAATAGCAAGGGTATTGCGTAGCCTTTTTAAACGGGAATTTAAGTGTTTCTTATTTTCATGGAGTCCAGCGACAAACTTTTCGCACAAATTTTTTTTCGGCACGAAACTCATTTCGAGCTCCTTTAATTATAATTTTGACATGCGATGTCTTTACCTATAACGCGTGCAGTCAGACCAGCCCAAAAATCCGCAAGATGTTACGTAACGCTGTAAAGCTGAAGTTGACTCCTGGACATAGTAAGTTCTTGGGCATGTGTTTCTGATGGGAAAGTACAGACATTGACATTTAATGATGACAATGGGCTCTCCATATAACCCTTCAAAGCAGTTATAGTTTCAAGAAATGAAGGCGGGAAAATGGACCCTCATAAAGTGGACTCGTGTGAGACATAGAACGACAGATATCTTGTAGTATGGTAAACTTCGCACATCTTCACAAAACAAGCTCGAAGGATCTCGAAAGCTGCGGGCAAACATTTTCATGCATGAGTCACGTGACTGTGCCACGTAATGTCTAGGAGGAGTAGTGTTTTGAGTGAAAAACAAAATCAGGTTTTTGACCCCTGTTACCCCATGATGGCCTTTGACCCCGTATTGGTCAAGGGAAATGTTGGGGCTGGGCTACTTTTGAAAAGTTTGGTTGAAATCTGTAAAACAATGGCAACTTTGTTACTAACAAATCAACGTTTGTTACTAACTAACTTACTAACGAAGCTATCCCGCAGCTAAAAACTAAAGTTATTATATTGCATTTATTTTTAAAAAAAATTTCTCCTTTTTTTTTGGGGGGGGGGTATTTTCGTCAATAGCAATTGGCTACTAACTGTATGCTCAGTTACCGACATGTGATATATCCAGAAAATTAATGAGTGACTTGTTTGTTTGTTTGTTTTTGACTTACTGTCCATGAACTCTGGTGTTCAAAAGAGCGCCAAGCACGACGAGAACTGTCACCAAGCGGTGCTGCTGCTTCTGCTGCAGTGCACGGCTTGCACGCCGCGGGAAAGTCATGTCGCTACAAAGAAACACCGGCACCAACATAATAATCTTAAACAGAATGAAGCGCCTCAAAATTCCTTTACTTCCACAGTATTACACCAAAAATGCCCTCCCATTGGCTCCCAAAACCGTTCTAGGAATGAAAACTTAAAAATCACTTTAAATACGATATTTGGGGAGAATTCTGTATCCATGATATGTACACCGATCACGAATACAGTTGCGCGGAGAGTTGCGCCGTTGTGGTATAATCAATGGCATTTTTAAAATACCTTTTAAGTTAAAAACTTTTAAATTATTATTCATTTTGAATGAGACGACTGAGTTTTTTTATCAATAAATATGTATTTCCGAACATAATAAAATACAGCAACATTTCACTTACCATGCAGCTTCGCACCAAGTGTGAAGCAACGAACGGGAATCACTAACGCAGGAGTGGCGAGTCAAACAAAAACTGTCGAATGATCATTATCAGGTGATTAAACTCCAACAAAATTAATTGGCTGACATTTAAAGTCGTATGTATCCCTTAATGGAAGAATATTATCTCCTTTTGTTGGGAGCAACTAGCACTGTCGTTTTTGAAAAATTGGTTGGTTTTAACGAGCAGGTCGGCTGTATTGTTTGAAAGACGATAGTGAAATTAGGCTACGGCTTGTTTCGCCCGTAGATAATTATTGGTTTTGCCAAGGGATACGAGGCGATCAATCTTATAACAATAGAATATATGGCAAATACAATATTACTTTCTTCCATTAAGGGATACGGCTTTAAATGTCAGCCTGGGAATGTCCAGGACAATTGGAATATTAAAAGGACAATAAATGCATTTCATAAATACCTGTCGTGTTCAAGCCAATTGAATTGAACAAAACAACTACATGTATATTCTATAAGCTTGCATAAGCTTTGGGATGGGGACGTAAAGCCATAGGTCCCGCGTGTGTTTCGTAATGCACGTTAAAGAACCCAGTAACACTTGTCACTAAGAGAAGGGTTTCGCCCCGGTGTTTCTAGCAGTGGCTCCAATATGCACTGCAGCACCTTGTAACCCCTGGTGGTGCTACATAACGGGTCTCATATTTCTCATAAACTTCGTTTACCTGTTTTAATAATAAACACAATTTTCAGCGCCTTGAGTACCTAATCGTTGGTAGATACTAGATACGTGCGCTATATAAGACTCCGGTATTATTATTATAACCCTGCAATTTTTTTACTTCATCAATTTGATATAAATTATAACATTTTGGAAATAAACTTCTAAAATAATATGTTTAAGTTTCAGAGGAAAGACAAAGCCAATGAAACATTTATGATTAATAAGTCTGATTATAATTATTTGAGGAAATAAACCTGCCGTTAGTTAACACTATTGAAGTTAAGTTTTATTGAATGAGTCGAATCGTTGTCCGCACGATATTTTTGTAAAGGCCAGCTTGTTTTTAAATAAATCAAATTTAATAATTTAGATGATGTGAAAAAAATATGCAAATGTCCAGGTAAAAGATTACAGTGAATGGCGATAGAAAACAGCTCAATAACATGTGAAAAAAGGGTTTAAAAAAACGCATTGACCTTTGAAAATAACTGTCGTGATGAAGTCATGTTTAATTAAGACAAATAACCAAAAACAATTCCGCACAATAACTCCACAAAGAGTCAACACTTTACGTTTATTAGGAACGGCCTGTTGATCCTGGCTCAATAGAGGGCGCTGTTGAAACAGGCAGAATCATTTGGCCAGAAAAAGGGCGCTCTTTCTAAAGTTAAGTCGTTTTATATTGTCAATAGAGGGCGCTGTTATGTCATTCAACAGACGGCAAAAAACAACACATCATTTTCCAGACGATAACTCTAGAAATACCTATTGTATCCACTGGAAACTTTGTCTGTCAATTGGTCCTGATGTCTGAAATAAGTCTATTAATTTGCAGAACCTCATGTCAACCAAATTCTTTGATACAACCAAATATTTCCCGCTGTTTTGTATACCCGGCCAACTGCATGGCATGTTCTTTCAAAAGGGCGCGCCGCTACACTAATAGTGGTCACCACGCTCTTAAAAAAGAATTGTGAACATAGAATTTTGTGTCATATAAAAAAACAGCACATTCGTTTCCAGCCGGTAACTCAAGAAATAACGGTTGTATTGGCTTCAAATTTTGTCTTGTTATTAGTAACAATATGATGCCTAACTCTGTTGACTATTGATAGAAATTATCAAACAATACAAAGAATATAACAAAAGTGTTCAGTACGAAAAATAAAATCCGCTCGTAAGTCAACTTTATGGAACAAAAACAACACGTTCGTTTGGCGGACAATAACTCCAGAAATAAATGGTCCAGTGAATTGAAATTCTTGCTGGTTATTGCCTTTTTTATTTGAAACATTTAGACAAAATGTCTACTCAATAGGCCATTAATTTCTTGAGTTATATTCTGCACACGAATGTTGTTATTGTTCTCCGAAAGTCGACTTACGTTCGGATTCAATTTAACTCAACTTGAATTTAGTTTAAAAAACACACACTCATTTCCAGACGAAGTAATACCTTTTGTACTGACTCGAAACATTGCCCGTCAATTGGTCCTGATGTCTGAAATAGGTCTATTAATTTTCAGAAGCAATGTCAACCAAATGTTTTGTTACAACCAAATATTTCCCGCTTTTTTTATTAGACATTTCGACAAAATTTCGACTCAATTGGCCATTTATTTCCCAAGTTTCGGTTCTCCACAAGAATGTCTTGTGTTTGTGCTCCGAAAGTCCACTTACGTTCGGATTAAATTTTAGTCAAATTTATATTTAATTCAATATTTTGTTCTCAAAAAAGTTAAGTTGATAATTAGGGACTTGAAAATATTGTGTGCTTTATTCTTTGGGAAAACTTGTCTTAATGCAGTGCGATAATGATATCAATGGATGGAGGTAGGAAATGGCATAATTAGATTTAAAAATCAAACTAAATGATGTGCATGCACAGACTAGACATGTCAGAGCAACTGACAATTTAACTATGCCATAAATTATTAACTTATGTTTCTAGGATATTGAAAGGATGACGTTTTACAGATAATATGAATACATTTTTAGAATATAAATGTTAAAATATTAGTCACTCGAGTTGGCATCGATCCTATCTCAATTCATATAATAAAGAGTTTTTAATTAATATGGGAATATTAATCTCTGTATTGTCTTTCCTCAAGCGTGATTTTTTTGCTTTCACTGTTGACTTTGTATCTGAATATTAATCAAAGCTATCGACACCGCGCGCGCAGAAGTCTAGAGTTTCTCGAATCCACGTGTTTCGCTGGTATTCATTAACTCGATAGAATTATGTGTGTTTCTGGCTGCTACCAGCGAAAGTGCGAAACTGAAAGTCGGCCATTTTGATTTCGGCGAGACGCGGGAAGATTTGTATTTTTTTGGTGTTTATCTTTGAGACAAAATTTCACGCTCAAAATGACCTTTTGATGTTAAATGCATTGACACGGATAAATGTTCTGCCAACCAGGTTAGTGGAGTAGTGAATGGAACTGGAAACCACTTTGTGAATGAATAAAGAACACATTTCCACGATAATGCTCACTGAACAACTGGACAGCTCAAGCGCATACTTCGTTAGTTCGTACACGTGTGAGGCTTGGGTGGGCCGGGGGCGGGGCGTGGTGTAAGAAAAAAAGGGAGGGGTTTGTGAGCTCAGCATCTCCTCTCACACCCCCCCCCCCCCCGCCTCCATAGTTAGGCCAAAATGAAGAAACAATTTTTTAGCGTCCTGCCTTTTTTGTTAAAAAAAGGGGGGCCTCCTAAAAGAGAGTGGGGGGGGGGGGAACTAAACATTTTTTTTTTATGGGGGGGGGGGGGGTCTACTTGGCCTTATACTCCAACTAGCAACACACTAGATATATACCCAGTTTTTATTAACCCTAACTCCCTAGCATGAGTTACTAGGAACCATATATCCGTCCTGGCAAATTCCAACACCATATGGGAAACTGTTCACACTATATTTCTGACTAAAAGTTTCTGGAGGTGTGCCAACCCAATGTAAAAGACTGTCAATTTAGGGGTACTGTACCCATCCAGACAGATTTCCAACAATACATGCTGTTGGGGTTTGATGGGTTGAGTTCTGTTAGGATTAAAGGTGATCGTGTATGTACAAGGGCCCGGTTCCCTATAGGGAACAAAATCCTCAATATAATGACACCTTTTTTTTGGTAGTAGTTTCTCTGGGTAGAAATTATGATTTTTCCACGTCATTTATGGTTGGTGCTGTGCGATTCAGCGCATCTTGCACATTCACGGTTCATCGCATGATGATCGCCATCTTTATTTTCATGTTGGATTTTGTCGTTTTCATCGTCATTGTACTCCCAAACGTTCCTCAAAAATTCAAAACCCTGCCCTCTTTCTATGACATATCTGCATGTTATTAATGTCGCCAAACTAGTTTTGTTAGTCAACTAATTTAAAGGTGGATTTTGTTCCCTTATAGGAACCGGGCCTGTAGCTATAGATGCATGATCATCCACAAAGTGACAAATGGCATTTCCCAATGTTTATATTTGGAGTCAGACGAAGCTCAAGTTGCCGCTGACTTTTATTTTATTTTACAGCAAACATTAAACACAAAGTAAAACACAAACAGGAGATTCTTTTGCTGATATCTGACACATTTTTGATATTTTCGATATCATTCCTGGTTGTGTATTATCTAGACAGTTATGTTCAAAACCCCCCCCCCCCCCCCTTCAGATTTTTCTGTTCTTGACCATTTATGCTGGGATATGAAAGAAAAATATTTTTTCTTACAGAACCATGCTTTGCTGTGACTGCACACAACCAGTGGAGGCGAGGAGAAATATGCCAGTCATCTGGAAGATTAACTGCTCCAAAACAAAATGTGACTACAGCTTTAGTATTTTCTAATACATTTTTTAGCTCTTTGCAGTAACATTACTTCCTTTGCA